ATGCTTATTTTTATCATAATGATACACAAGTTTTACCATGTATTAACTAATGATCAGAAGACGTGCAAGAAAGTTAATTTAGGTCATATAAACTGTATTAATGGCCACACATATAGTTTATTAATTAACATAGGAAGTACCGTGAACGTGAGCTGTAATTCCGCGGCTTGTCATTCAAATACCAAATTGGAATATCAAATATTGTAACTGTTTGACAGGACACAGAAAATGCACAGGACCACAGATCACATGACATGTACTTCCAAATTGTTCGAATTTAATCAAATCGATTGTCGAGTGCACGGAATTACTACATTTGAATAACCCACGCTCACGGTACGCAGTTTCCCAAATAGAAACTATCATGTTGATGTTTTGGTAAACACTCATAAATGAAAATCATGCGTATAATAATTAATTTACGTTACGTAAAGGGTGTCCACGATGAAATTGCCACACTATGAAATTGCTCTAACTTTTCAACCGTTAGGTAGAATTTAATGAAAATTTGGGTGGATTTAGTTCATAGTGCATTATTTACATCCTGCAAGTTTTAAAGTCCTGTGATCAAAACTCGCGGGAATGGAGTCGAAAGAACAGCTCGTGCGTGATAAAATCTTGCGCATTCATCACGGGAACAAAGATCTCTCGCATCGTTCCATCGCTAAAACGTTGGGAATCGCGAATTTAACGGTGTCGCGAGTGATTAAGCGGTTCGAGGAACGGTTGACCACCGATCGGAAGCCCAGAAGTGAAGGAAAAAGTATTCCGTACAACACCAAAAATCACAACCGCGTAGTTGGGGCCTTCAACCGAAATCCGAACGCCTCCGTTAGGGATGTGGCTAAGAAGCTGCACCTAAGCCGAAGTTTTGTCCAGAAGGCCAAAACTAAGTCTGGGCTTCGAACGTTCAAGGTACAAAAGGCCCTTAATCGCGACGAGAAGCAGAACAAGTCCGCCAAAACCCGTGCCAGGCAGTTGTACCTCAACATGCTGACGAAAGTTGAATGCTGCATCATGGACGACGAAACATATGTGAAGGCCGACTTCAAACAGATCCCCGGCAACCTGTTTTTCACGGCCAAGGATAAGTTCAGCGTTCCGGAGCATGTCCGCACTCAGAAGATGTCCAAATTTGCGAAGAAATTCCTGGTTTGGCAAGCCATCTGCACGTGCGGGAAGCGGAGTGCACCTTTCGTGACCCAGGACACGATGAACGGACAGGTGTACATAAAAGAGTGCCTCCAGAAGCGGCTGCTTCCTCTCCTGAAGGCCCACAACGTCCCAACAATCTTCTGGCCGGATTTGGCCTCATGCCACTACTCCAAGGACGTGCTGAAGTGGTATGCGGACAATAAGGTCAATTTCGTGCCGAAAATGTTCAACCCTCCCAACACTCCGGAGCTCCACCCCATCGAGAAGTACTGGGCGATTATGAAGCAGCACCTTCTTAAACGACCTAAGGTAGTGAAGACAGTCGAGGAACTGAAGAAAGTATGGGTTTACATGCAAAAAACGGTTGATTCACAGGTTGTGCAGAATCTTATGGCCGGGGTTAAGGCCAAGGTGCGGGCATTTGCGTATGGACTGTAAATAAAATACGAGTAAAATGGTAAAATGAAGTTTAATAGTTATTTCTCAATCCCTGAAAATTTGATGGCAATCGGATGAAAACTCGAATTTTGCGAATCAATTTTGTGTGTGGCAATTTCATCGTGGACACCCTTTATAGGTATGTGAAACGCTGGTAGTATTTATTTTATTTTCAAGTAAAAAAAAATAACATGATTATGCTTTCAAAGTGTTTTTTATGTTACTTCATACGCGAAGTTAACGATTTTCAGAGTTGGTTGGAAATGCTAACATGAAGCTTTAGTGTGATGATTTATTAGCTAGAGAATGATCTTTAGAAGAGGGTAGGTGGATAGTTCCGTTAGAGTACGGCAGTATGAAAATTGAATAGAAGTTGAAAATGAGCGAAGGGCCATTAAAGCGACAGTTTTCAAGATAGACGCACATTTTTGCCTAGCCCGTACGATGTACGCGGAGACTTGAAGTATGTCTCCAAGTCCACAGGCAAAAATGTGCGTCCCTCATGTTGCTCATAAACTGACTGCGGCTGTGGAATAGTTCTAGCGACGTTTTCATCACTACCTAAAGCCCCACGTTGCGAGAGCATTTCCAGTCGATGGTGTGTGTAATGATTATGCTTGTGAGAAAATGTGCATTCATATAAACAAAGCCTGGGTGATCGGTGACTGAAAAAAGATACATTTTTTATTTAGTTTGAAATCGATTTTATATCACACACGAAGATTTAAACAAATGGCAACACTGCATCCCTCGCTGCATGCACGAAGGTGCTTTGTGAGTCAGTCGATCTAAATGACGTACGTGCTCCCTCCTCTAGGGAGGGGAAGAATATTGACGAAGTGAAATAAATACAAATAACTTTTTCAACAATACTCGTCAGCAATCCATCGTCATCAATATTACCTTTTCAATAATATTGTCAGTATGTCAATTTATTGTCAATATATTGATCCGTGCAACGAGCGCTTAAGCGTGTTATCATTCATGTTGTATATATTTATGCATTGATAATGTTGTAAGGAAAATTGACAATACGATGTTTGTCAATAAATTGACATGTGTAATGGGCGCTTAATACAATACCTAACCCTAGCATAGGGTTTTGTTGCATTGCAACAGTAGAGCCACAGACAAACAGACATAACACATTGCATAATTCTCACTGTAAAACATGGTAGCTAAAACATTACCGCCATCTGTTGAGCACACTGTGCTGGGTAGTACGCTGAACAGATGGCGGTAGTGTGTAAACGTCATACGCAAGGGAATTGACTATCCGCGCCGCAGGTGGCGGTACTACCAACTACGATACTTTTATATTGTCCGTTAAATGCTTGTTCGATGAACAACATGCGAGTGTTATGTCTGTTTGTCTGTGGTAGAGCACAGGTCAGAAGTTATATTGCTGATATTTTTCAGCTCGTCCTTGAGATGTTTTAGGTCTTCGGAAATGCGGAATTTGAATCCTCTCCAACTGAAAAGATTGGTAAAAAGAGATTATCAACCCGATTCGTACCTTCCTCAAAGTTGTCCTTGCTCGCTTTTCACTCTCTAAATACAATTTCCACACTGCCGTACTCTAACGGAGGTAATGTGGTTTTAAACGTTGCCAGTAGAATCGCTGCTTTCAGCTGCCGTCAGCTGTTTTTTTATATCGAGTAAAGCATCGAGGAACCGGTCAATCACTTCATGCATAATGTCAGCATTATCAGCACATATCAAGAACAACATGTGAAAAGGGCATAGAAGCTTTTTGTAAACAAACCTTCTTATGAACTTTTCTCGCCACGCATATGACACCAACGCAAACCATCAACATCACCGGTTAGAGGAAACTATTCCCTTCCCGATGATGTTGTTGATTTGCGTGGATGACCCTCGGTTGGTGAGAAATAGGACGAGGTGTTAATTGTCTTGTCTCTCTTGCGAAGTGAGCTCAGGCACAGGTACAGATAATTTATTTATTTATTCGACAATCAATCAAATCGTATACTGCATATTAACATTAGGAATTATGTTCTATGACTTTGCAGGGTTCTGAAATATATTTTCAATTCTGTTGAGGGCATATTCAGGTCAATCATTTCACAATGATGATTAGAAACAGTCATCATCTGATTTACCGGTCCAAATTCAGCGTAATTGGTACGATGGCGATCTACTGCAAACAAGTAGTATCGATTGCGTAATTGTCGGGAAGGTGCATACAAATGTAATCTTGACAATAGATCAGCTTTGTCAATGCGTTGCGAAATGATATTGTTTAATAAAGAATTGTTTGCGTAATTTAAATGTTAGAATGCTGATCAACAAGCAACGTGCTTCATATGACGGGAGAGGAAAAGCCGTTCAATCTAACTTACGTAGCAGCACATTTCCACATGCCGAAGTCAGCGGAAAATCCACAGCACATTTTAACGGCGTTCAAAAAAACACTGATTGACGACCGATATGATTTCATAGCACATTTTGCGATTTCATGAACAAAAATCTCAAGAAGTTTATAGATCCGTACATTTCAGAGATTAATTGGTTTCCCATAGCAAACAACAAGTAGCTATTTTTTTTTACTTTTTCTTGTGAAATTGAAAAGCTTAATGCGAAAATGAATGGTAGCATGAATTTAATTAAATAAAAAACATGATTTGTAAAACCAAGATTTTTTTAATTATTGATCCGGGAAAATCTGGAACTTTAAAATGAAAATTCGCTTTCCACACTGAAGTGTTTCTTTTCTCTATACACCTGACCTGGCATCCCTGATTGGTTGGCATAGAAAGCTCTCAATTAATAATTGTGTATGTGCTGTAAAGAACACTAAGTTGATAGCAGGCGAAAGCTCGTTTAAGAGCGTCAAAGCCAGATAGAAGACGAACATAAACATTGACTCGGGTAACCATGGGGTGCTCTTCAGAAGATCGTTATTATCTAAAAATGGTCAGCTCATTAAATTTATCCTAGCGATTTTTTTTTTCGATAGCATTTGAATTTCAGCATCAAGAATTAATTTGAGTCTGTGACATGAATACGTTTCCTGTGAATTATGGAACGTCCGAAACATCCTCAAAAATGGTCAATTAACAAAATTAAAGTATTTATAGTTAATCATTCATCTTAAATTCAAAACTGTAAGAAAAACTTTCATTCCCCGGATGGATGTCAAGGATAAAAAAAGTCGGATCGCTCGTCACCGCTTGTGGAACTTATTCAACTACACCAGGACTTTTCATCCGCTCCCTCATAGTGCATCCATCCCGATGGCACCAGAGAGGACATCAACCTCAGGCGCTGGATTTATGCTAATGAATTTAACAACTTTTTGCCACGTGCGACGCGATTAAAAAAAACCTTTCAAATTACATGATTCCTTTTTTATTAATCTATCTTCTCATCCTGTTCGCCACCAGAGTACAGCGAGGAAATCCTTTCGTGGAAAGAACAAAAAATGGCTGCTAAACATTGTAATCCCACGGAAAAGTAGAAAAAATGGATACCACCGAAATGGAACCGACACCATGCAGCGCAGTTGATGAGTTGCCGTCTTCTTGCTGTTTTTTTCATTTCCCAGGGATGCCCGACGGACGGTTTCCTTTTGTCGTTTGCCGTCGATTTGGTGTGTTTTATGGTGCATTTAAAATGTATGTAATTAATTATGGTTTTCACTGAGCCATCCAAGCACGTTACATGTTCATTGTTTGCCGAAACGTCGAGCATCCCTCACAGCCCGTTTGGCAAAAAAAAAACACGCAGACGCACTTGAACTGTTGAGCAATTGAATCAAGTGTAAGCTAAGTTAGGAAAGAAAAGTCAAAATTGTACTCACTTTCACTCTTTTTGGTACCCTATCCATCATTCCGACGAACATCGTTAGATATTTTAATTGGGATTGAAACGCTAGAAAGGCTAGGTGAGTTGCAATAAAACACAAGAGGAATTTTGAAGAGGAATGAACTTCATAACTACTAAGGACAAGGTATTCGCACGATGAAGAGGATCAGAGGTTGGGCTACTTCTTTTTAAAATTAATAAAAGCTATCTCTAGTGCATGACATACATACATACCGATACAGATCTTAGCATTACAGTTGACGAACAGACAGAGACCCCGACACGAGCAAAGTCACGTGAATGGTATTTCATTTTGTTTACAGTGAAGATGAATCAAAGTCTCTGAACGGAGTGTCACTCAAGACCAGCGCCTTAATTTACCCAAGTGGCCAGCAGATAATGATGTCGGTAAAGGACCAGGCGTCCCTTTCATTTCCCTTTTTGTTGAGTATTCTGTGCTGGAAACAGGACAAGTCGAAACAAAGTCGAACCAACAACGAGAGGGTTTGTTAGTAGCTATAGCTAGAGGTATGTAGAATCAGCAGCAGCTGGAAGGATGAGGATCAAGATTTAGATAACTTTTTGTACACCGATGACGCCTTAGGCAGCAAAAGGCCTTCAAACTGTATAGAAAAGCTATCGTCGATGAACGGCAAGGACTAATTACTAATTAAGCTTAGCACAAACACCGAATTGTACGGAGTTAAACAAAGCCAAAAGTGAAATGAAAGTAGTCTAGATGAAAGTAAAGCATCACGTCTTCGATTCCTAAGCAAAGAAGCAGCTGACAATGGCAATATGAACGAAACAGAATAGACCAGATCCGTGTTACTCGAAATCCGATCAATTGGTTTTTTTTAATGAGGTCGAGCTGCCAACGGTAAGTAAGGATATTGAGATCGGAAGAGGGTGAGCGGTACTATATTTATAGAATCAGCTGAAACGCAAGGAACCACTTGAGAAAGCCAGTAGTGTTTGAAGCGAAACTGGCAAATCCAACTTTAATAAGTAGCATTTTTGTTTATCAATTTCATACAATACGAAGCGAATGGAATGGAAATGAATTTTAAATGTGTGATACCAAACAATTAACAGAACAACTTAGTCTATAAGGCAAGCAATTGTGACAGTAAAATTGATAATATATTTCTAGATTACTTATACTGTACTGTTGTTTTATTTTTAGTTAATCCGAAATTCAAAAAACTCGTATGTCTTCCCGATAATCATTTGAGAAAAACAATGTATCATATGTTCGTTCAAATAAGCTTTAGAAAGCTTTGTAAAGAGGATCCTGCTGGGATTCTCAAAAACTCGGCTTTAGCGCCTGACAAGGGAGGCGTCTGCCAAGAATTCCGGATGTATTTACTATAGTTGATTTTGATTTCCAGCTTGAAAATTTTCGAGGTTTATTCCTACCTCTTCTTCTTATACTTTTCTCCTGTCTAAATAGTCAGAGAGAATCAGTTGGTCTCCCGAAGAGATCTTCGCCGGACTACACGCTAACTTTAGCTTACTCACCGGGTGAGTCGATCATACTTACTTTCATCCGATGCACAGTTGGGTATTGATTCTTGCTGTCCAAAAATATTTAACCACTCTAACTTGTCACATACATCTTATTATTCTAGGAAAATAACATTTTTTGGACAAAAAAGGGCTCAACAGTCGTGGGGGGGGGGGCATTATGTATTCTTCGGATTTAGTTACCGTCATAGGACGAAATATTGCGAACTAACAATACTTTAAATAAACAATATAAAAACACACAGGCTGAATTTTGTTTACAAACTAGCATACGTTATTATTATTATTATTATTTATTCAATACTTATCTGTAACATAAGACATTCGTCTTTTTATAATTGTTACATATGTTTTTCCACGTAGAATTGGCGTCACGATTACTAATTCAAATTAACATTAATCCATACTGATTTTGTTAAATTATTGACTCATTCATTAATTGACCAAACATTTTTGTTTAGTTAAAGTACTCAATACATCTCCTCCTAAATACTAAGAATGATTTTTCTAATGTTAAATCGTTGGGAAGTAAATTCCATTGAATCACGCCTCTAACGAAAAAGGATTTTCCATACCTTGATGTGTTGAAGCGCGGCAGTTTGTACTTCCTCGATCGATTGCTTCTGAAAGACTCCAACTTATTGAACAAATAGCCGGGTTGTTTTGTGGCAGCAAGACTGAACAGAAACAAGCAGCTTCTCATGTGACCGAATTTATCAAAGGGACAACCAATGAGTGGATGTTGTAGGTGTGAAACACTTGAGAATCTATTTAAGTTAAAAACATAGCGTACGCAAGAATTAAGTGCAACTCGTAGTCTAGACAGAGCGAAAGACGAAACTTCGAACAAAAGAAAATCGCATGCAATGAAGTGAGGAAAAAGCAAGCTTTTAAACAATTTAATCTTGGTGTCCACACTAAGGAATGAGCAGGCTAGGTTTAGTGTTTTCAAACCAGCAAATATTTTGCCACACTGTTTTAAGATAAATTTGTCAAATTAGAAATTTTCTTGAATTGTCACTCCAAGGCTAGTAGCACAAACGAAGTAACAGACGGAGCGGCTCGAAAACTTTGGTGACCAACCTGCTATTGCAATTTTTCAGTGTGCCACATGACAACACCACTACCACTGGATTGAACCACATGGCAACACTACTACTGGATTGAACTAGCATTTTCACCAAATGTACTAGAATGTTTTGGTTCTATCTCTTTCACTCTACTCAAAACTGAAATGCATAAAAAAATGACAAAATGATACGCACTCTTTGCACACTGTCAAAGAATCATTGTACACAAAATCAACTTTGTGCAAAACCAAAACAAAAATACTATCCCATCTGGTGGATGATGGCACAAGCTTCTAAGAAAATTATATTTCTGCGAACCACATTATTTTAATTGATTTCTTCGCCAGTTAGTCGTCTGTCACTTCGTTTGTGCTAGTAGCATGCTCTTTAAATTCAATATTTTGGTTGTTAAATACTGTAGCAGGTTGAGCCTACATGGATCGATCGAACAGACTTCCTTTGGAGAAGGGCTTTCTTTGATATGCGGTATCCAAACTATGGTAGACTCTAAACAGAGTATCTACCAGTGAGGACCGCAGTGAAAAGAGTTTGACTGCTGATCGATAATTGTCTTGTATATTATGAAATATTTGGTTTATATAGCATTTACATGTTCTTGCTTATCCTAGTTAGTCTACATGTAAGAACGAGACGACTGGAGTGCCGATACCCAAAATATGCATCTTTGCCAGGTCTGCATTTTTGGTGACTTGGTGGTCCTACCCGACTGCGCAACATGACACCTTGCGTTGGCACTTCGGTATAGGCCTCACGCGGGGAGAGGAAAGTGGAAATGAAATAACTCTAACGCTGTGGCGCAATCGCCGCATATGGTTGCAATTGCATTCTATGTAATTTGAATCTATGAACTTTGTTCGGATTGAAGTTAATGACTTTGTTTGTTTACGATATGGTTATTGTCGTGGTTATTTGTAGGGATGCACATGACACCTTCCCTTTTTGGGAGAATGGTGTAATGAAATGAAATGAAATGTAACCATTCTAAATTTTGTGACTACTCCAGATGTCTCTATATAAATTTGATTTTGTTTTATAATTATGTTATAATGGTTTTACGACAATTTATTTAACTAACCGAGTTTCGCACTCCTCAGTATAAAACTGGGAACTTTCACCTGTTTCAATTTTCGTTATAATTTTTTTTTTTTTTTGATTTTCATTTTTTTTTTTTTGAAACTAGGCTCGGTGGATTCTTTACTAAATTGTCTTACAAATTTTTTTTTTTTTTGATTATATGAGATATTTAAACTATTAATCTATTTTTATGTACGATTTGATTTTCATTTGTTATTTGGTTTTTAATTATTGCGTTTGGATGTTGAATATCAATTATTGTAAATGGTCCTGTGTATACTGAATCTAATTTTCTACGGTTTTCCTTTTTTAACCATACTTTATCTCCTATTTGAATTTCTATTGGATTTGAATATTCTGCTTGATTTGATATTCTTTTCTCTTTTGTTTTGTCTAATAACATTTTTGCTCTTTGATTTGCTATTTGTAATTTGTATTTTAGTTCTTTAAAGTATGCTTCGTAATTGTAGATTGGATCAATTTCAGTTCCTAGTTTTAGTTTTGTTGGATAGTTTGCTTGTGTACCAAAGATAAGTTCAAAAGGTGTGAAAGTATGTTCTGTATGTGGCGTTGTATTGTAAAAGAAAGTGAAAAATGGTAACCATGAGTCCCAATCATCATGTTGCTCATTGATGAATTGCCTAAGGTATTCATTCAAACAACGATGACTTCGCTCGAGAGCTCCTATGGTTTCTGGATGATAAGCTGTTCCAAATTTTTGGTTTATTGAAAGAATAGTACATATTTGCTGGAACACTTCATTTTTATACTCAGTGCCCATATCTGATTTGATTGCTATAGGACAACCATAGATTAAAATGAAATTTTCAACGAATGCTTTTGCTAAAGTATTAGCTTGCTTATCTACTAATGGTATTGCTATAATATACTTCGTTAAGTCACATTGTATTGTCAATGCGTAACGATTTCCTTTCGTTGATCTCGTTATTGGACCAACGGTATCCATTGAAATTAATTCAAATGGTTTTGCTGGTGTTGTAGTTTTTTCGAATATTTCTTTAGTCTTAATTCTGTGTTTATTTTGTCTACATGAAATAC